AATAAAGTTCATGCCACTTTGACAGAAAATATACCAGTAAAAAAGAATTCGCTTATCACCATATTTGTATAAGAATGCATAATTGTAAAATTTAAATTAAAACTTAGCGTTGCGACAGCTCGCTCCAAAAATAATAACTCATTTCTAATAGCATTTTTCGGATTACAACAGTACATATATTTTCGTTGTCCTCTTATTACTGAGAGAAAAAACAAGAAAAAAATCTATTCCATACCTGAGGATGTCTGTATGAACAGACGAAAGCTTGTAAAATAATAAGAACTCATGCAACAGAAATTTATAGAAACAAGGATCTTTTCATGCATAAACAGGTTCGGGGTTTTTGTATATTATTTGAATTGTTCGCGACGATGGATTTCTCGCCAATTAAATCATTAACCTTTGTATTTGTTTTTTGTATGAATAATTCATGAATTTGTAAATTAATTGCACCTTTATTGATATATATATATATATATATATATATATATATATATATATATATATATATATATATATATATAGGATTGGTGTATACGGAATAAATTCCAATAACCAACAAATACTATTCTTAAAAGTGTGATCAATATAGTGTAGGGCAAATATAATTATTTATTCAAAAATTATAACATAAATATGTTATAAAATCACTATAAAAATAGCCATTTTGTTTCAACACTTCTGGTGTCTTATCAAGTGATGGTGTTGAATGTAGAAAAAAGGGTTTTAAAAAAGTTCAAATCAATAAACGCTTATTCCAATTTAATTTCAATAAAACAACATAAATAGAATAACATTTATTTTTCCTTTTTTCCCCAGTAATTTTATCATTTTAAACTTAAATTCGTATACTTGTATTTTGATTGGTCATTCAAGCTTATGTAACAGCGTTTCCCCTTAGCGAGGAGTGTTTGTTTGATTTGAACATATTTATGTTATAATTTTGGAATAAATAATTTAAAACACTGTTGGACGCGCTCTGTTATAATAAGTTTAACATTTTAAATTTATCCGTTGTAGCTAGAGTATTTGTGTAGGAAAAACTACTTCCTTGATGAATTTCAACTTAACATTAAGAAACTGATTAGAGAACTAGAAAGGATTTTTACAAAATATATAGACATAATATATCTATATTATTCAATGAAATTCGTTTGAACGAAAATATGCCTCATATATATATATATATATATATATATATATATATATATATATATGAGAATTACAAAAATGAAACCCAAATTGCCCCATTCAGATTGTCATTTTTTGCCCCTGGAGATTCTCCTGGGTCTTGTCAATGCAAACACATTTGTTACAGAAATGAATTCTAACAATTTTTTTTTTTTAAAGAAATTTGAAAGATAAAAATTAAGGAAGGAAGGAAGGAAAGAAAAAAAAGAAGGAAGAAAAATTTTATATTAATAGGATCTACCTATATATATATATATATATATATATATATATATATATATATATATATATATATAATTTATGAAGTCATTTAAATCTGAGCCAGAGAGGAAATATTGTTTTATATATCGCTTTCATGGTGCTTATTTGGTTGTTCTTTTTTTGTCTTTAATTTGGATCTTTGATCTTTCTTTTATTATTATTATTTTTTATTATTATTATTATTGCTAGTAGTAGTAGTAATGATATTAGTAGTATTTACTATCCATTTAATACAGTATATTGCCGAGTCATTATCCGAGATCTATATATAATAAATGTATGCATTCTGTTTACACAAATTCTGATGTTAAGCGATACTTAACGCGTATACTTTATATTTTTTACATTGATAAGTCTCTTCGAAGTAAAGTTCAATTTTTTTAATCTCTTGTAAACAGGAACTGCCAAGGACTTTGTTAATGACCATGCCTGTACCGTTTTTGATAGTACCCAGACACCAATTTTTATTTACATAACTATAGTTTTATGGTGCTACATTTTTTTTTCAGATTTAACATTATTATTATTATTATTATTATCATCATCATCATCATCATCATCATCATCATCATCATCATTATTATTATTATTATTATTATTATTATTATTATTATTATTATTATTATTATTGGTGTTGCTGTTGTTGTTGTGGCTGTTGTTGTTGTTGCTTCTTTGCAATGGAATGTTTGTTTTATTTGCGTTTGTACCAGTCCTCTTCTCCGTCACCGTTTATTTCTCAGGTAATTTTTAAGGCAGGGGAAAGGGTGTTTCTTTTGTTTAATTTCGACAGGAGGTGTGGAGATCAGACATGTTGTTGTTTTTTTATGCTGACCCAAGTAAGGGAGGTAATTCTTTACTTTTTAATTTAATACCTCTGTTTTGATTGTTAGAAATGCTTTTTGCGTTCTTTTTAGATCCTTGCCTCCTCACCTTCTTTTTCTTTTTTTCTTTTTTTTAATAATTTATTTTGTTTGTTTGGCTTACGATTTACATTTATATTTGTCTTTTGTTTGTTTCTTTTCTTGCTCGCAATGGTCACATCTGTTGTGAGAGCGTTTCCGGTTTTGCCGCTTTTTTCTCGGTAAGAGCACGCTGCAATGAGCAACGGACGCATAACGGATATTAAAAGCCGTCAGGACAGGATATTAAGCCCACGCCGAACCTTCTCGACTTCTTTGTTCCTGTTCTTTTTCTTGTTGCTGTTGTTCGGGGTGTTATTTTGCGTTGTTGTGCTAAAGACATAATGTGCGAACATTTATAGGATTAGTCCCGACCCCACGCTCATGGCTGAACATCCCCCCGCCAAATATATGTATGGTTGAGTCTCTGTCTTTCTATCTGTTTACATACGCGCACATTCATAGACACACACAGACGCATACAAAATCTGACCAAATGACCAAACACCAGAATATTTTTTGTTAATCTCTTCTTGGTCTGGTCAAGATCATTCCTGCACTTGCTCTAAGATAGATAGATAGAGAGATAGATATGAACAGACTGAGATAGATAGACAGACAGACAGAGAGACCGACAGACTGTTTGTTTATTATTTATTTACTAATACATGTTTCATGTACTTTTATTTTATTTTCCTTCTATGAACGACAGATTTCTATTCTGCACATTATATAGAACTTGTCCAAATGATTATTTGTTCCGAGGACTTTTGGATAAACTATTCGCCATTTTCAATGATTTTGTCTGTGTTTTTTCAAATGCTGTGTAGATTAATATTACATAGTATAATACGGACTCCAGCAAGAACTGCACCTCAAATAACATTTTGTATATATATATATATATATATATATATATATATATATATATATATATATATATATATATATATATATATATATATATATATATATATATAGAGAGAGAGAGAGAGAGAGAGAGAGAGGGAGGGGCACGATGGAGTAATGGATAGCAGCTCGGATTGAGGAATCGGAGAGCCGAGTTCGAATTCCACTCGGATCCATTACATCACCTACGTGCTAATACCCTTGCGAAACGTATGAATCCTCTCCTCCCCACCCCCACACCACTAGTTTTAGGTAAATAGCAGGACAGACTGGGTTCTATAGCCTTGGATGGCAACTGGTCTAGGAGAAGGACAACTCTGTATTCAAAAGGTACACCAGGTTTCTGTATTCGGCTCTTTAAAACTGTGGTTGGTTCGGCACAAAAACTTCACCTCTATAATCAAGTCATATGTGCAGGTTGTCTGGTTTTCGATTCCTAGGAACTGCGTGACCTACCATAAC